AGACTGGCGAATTCTGTTGCGTGCAACTGTGCCTCAGGAATTGGGGGAATTTTGACTATCTAAATTCACTCAGATGTTCATTTGAATGCTACAGATATGGAACAAAAATTTTGAGCTGAACCGCTGACTGCACGGTGTTGAACGAGGAATGAGAAATCTCTCATTCACGTGATGTTGAGACTCGCACAAACAATGACCGACACTGGACCGGTTCCGTGAAGACGGCGATGAGATGAGTGGTGTGGAGGGTTCAGATGACGAGGGGGTGCGAGGTCAAGATGAGGAGAACATTTCTTCCGATGAATCCGGGGAATTTTCTGAAGGTTCAGATCTCTAGTCGGATTTTGAGTCAGTGGAGGAAATGTGAGGAAGGTTGGGACTTGGAGAAAAGAATGAGTCGATAGAAGGGCCAATTGTTCACTAAGTTATTCCAAATCATCAAAGTTTTCATGCCTTGAAGTCGTATCACCGAGTTTTGCACAAAAATGCAAGGACCGATTATGTCCGAAAATCCGGCGTGCGCCGATGTGGCCAAAAAACGTAAAAGGTGGCGCATTCTTTCAATTCTTTTTGTCGTTTGGGCGTCTATGCCTCCATTTACGTCCTCTAGATACTTTGGCCAGGCCGTGGAGCTTGAATTTTGATGAAGAAAAGCCAACATTCAAAAGCTCATGCAAGGACCGTGGAATGACTGTACATGCAATTAATTCCGAACGGTGCGCGTGTTCAATCAAACTACAGCAATCACCCGTTCAACTTCCGCTTAAGAGCTGTAGCTCTTTCCATATCACTTTCCGTCCGCCCTCATCGGCCTCTTGATTCTTCTTTGATTCGTTCCATTGTTGCTCTCCTTCAGTATCGGCGTAATGCTTGATTGGGGCCCTCAGTTCAGTATGCGTTATCCACCATGGCTGAGCTCAACAATTTTTTGTAGGATCGAGACGAATCCGAGGAAGCCAGGTGTGCCTGAATGGTAGTCGTGATCAGCGTCATTGTTTGCAATAAATTTAGGTCCTCTTCTCCACCATGAACGTCGCTCCATTCTAGCCTGACACCGCAGTCTGGTTGGTGGATGTTCTCAATCACAACTGTGTCCACGCTGTCAACGCATCAACGTTCCATGGATGAATCTATCGTTCGGGTCGTAGGCTCACCAAATCTGTCATTCGTTCCCTTTCTGCCTGTTACGGTGGCGCAGGATGTGTCTCTCCTTTTTTCTGTCTCTCGTTTTCATGGTACATATTGATTCCCCCCCGCCGACCTCCGCCGTGATCTAGAACTTCTCCCAATCCAGCGCCGCCATGCGTAAAACTACCCTACCCTCTGCTCTCATTCAACCAACTGATGTGTGGACAGTTGAATGCGATGTAGGCTCGGACTCGGGCTCCACCACACCTTTAGCCGTTATTCCGGCTGACGAGGGCCGACATGGTGCATGGTGAGCGCCCTTCACCCGCTCTTTCTATTCACTTAATGATATTTATACAGTCGAAGCCCCAAGTACGCACAGTCTCATTCAAGCATGGGCCATTTATCACTTTTCGTTTGAGACTCTGCGGAGGTCTTATATAATTATCGTAGATGATTTCTCACACCATCCACCCGGCGACTCGGACCTTCTGCTCCATGAGTGCAGTCGCCCCGGATATTTGCCTATGGTCCACCACGTAAACGAGCTCTAACTAATCCCGCATAAGCCGGAGGCACTGACACGACGAGGTACAAGTAATTGGATGCGCCCCGATTTCCCCGATCGATGCCGTGTCTCAACATAGTCTGTCGCGCATTGAATAGACATTTTTCTATGTGAGTTCCGGTGCTCAGGATTCACCTTCCTCTTCTTAGCAACTTTACACAAGCACACAGCGCGAGTCCAGCATATGTAAACCTCGCTCCGACTCATTCATTGCGCACGTTAAATTTTAATTACCCGCAGCCCTGCCGCCTGCGCATAGTCTCCTTGAAGCGACAGATGTATTCGGTGTCAGCGAGTCAAAATCCCCCGCGCTGGAGCGAAGCGACGGCATATCTCGTTGAACTGAACGAGATTTCGCGATGATATCATATTGAACACCGGAATCCTCTCCGGCACAATTTTATGGCACATATAGCATGCAAAAATTATTGGCTGGTTACATCTCAGTGCAAGCAGGGTTTTGGGTTGCAACTTGCAGCGAAACTGCAAAAAAGCTTACAACTTGGATTTTGCAGACATCTTTTTTGCAGTGGTTGCAAGGACTTCATTTGATGAGTTACACCTTGGAAGGCTTGCTTCTGGGGACTTAGTCCTAGTAGATTTTCAAAGTTTTGATGTGGATGATGATGCTACTCCCGTGCCGAGATCCATAAATGGAAGTCGGCTGATATTGCAGCGCCATAGTGCACCAAAATAGCTTCTCCTTGCATCTAATACAATGTTCCAATTGATACTTACGAATAATCATGATAGCAATGGGACCTTTATCCTCTGCAGCCCTCTTGGAAGTTCACAGAGCAGAACATTGCAATTTCAGTAGTTTCCAAGGATAATTTGCCAACGATGCCTGCCTCCGGTCTAAGAAACGGTTCTACATTCGAAATGCATCATCCGGTGCTTCTGCAGGGCTCTCAGGTTCCTATTCACGGACATGGAGCAGACCGCCGAGTAGCCGAATTGATGTGGATCAAATCCAAACACATACAACTTTTGTGAGATGTGAACTGTTCATAGTTGTAAGCCGAGGATGAAGATGTAACCAACATGGAAAGATGCCACCAAAAGTGCTGGATTTTGAAGTAAGTTGTCTGCGAAAACCCTGCAAAATTTCAGTAATTTTTGCACAGTATATCGCCCATACAATTGTATTTGTGCACGCATGGCATCAAGCATCAGGAAAATCCAAAGTTGCCCCATAGCACCATATAGCGCACCAGAGCCCTATATAGTGGCCATAGCTGATATAGCAAACTGACCAACCTCAGAGAAACGTGGGACCCTGGACTGAACTTCATAGCCCACCATAGCCCACCATAGTCACAGTGTTTTCTATGATAGTGGTCACGGTCAGAGCACAAAAAAAATTGGGATGTTGCAATTGTAAGGTCATAATGTATTGTTCTCTTGTTGCATTACTACGGTAATGGGGTGCAAATTCAAGGTTACAGAAAAGCTAATTAACATTAAGCAAGGGTAAATATATTTAAATGCGACCACCTTGGGGAGTTGAACTCAGGACCTCGCGCGTACGACTGAAATTTGAGAAGCGACAAAATAACCACTAGACTAAGGAAACATTAAGATATGTAGAATCAAAGTCATATTAGTAGGGTCGGCACTGACCTACCACCTCCCTCTGTCTTTGCCTTCACTTTGTGGTAACTTACTACATATAATGAAGTGGTAGTGGTTAGGCTATAATTTTTTGAGTAGCTAAAAATAAACCCCAAACCAAAATTGTAGAGCTCGAAATGCTCAACAAAAGTTGTCAAGGGACAGATTTTGCCTAAGGGGTTTGTCCTGCTGCAAACCATAAAATGAATTCCCAGAAGGTTCCATCTGGTAGCAAGATCTGATCCAGATAACCATTCGTGACAGCCATAAGTTTACTTGCCATTGTGTTACCTAACTTTCCACTATTTATACTAGTGAAATCTTATAGATGACCATAGCACCATAGAGTCAATTGGTTCAGCTCTATAGACCTTCATAGCTCACTATAGCATCATATAGCCAATCAGGTCAGTTATATAGCTCACCATAGCTCACCATAGCGTCATATAGCCAATCAGGTCAGTTATATAGCTCACCATAGCTCGCCATAGCCCCACATAGCCCATGATAGCCACCTATGTGTCTCTCAGAGCATTTCAGATTTTCCTGATGAGGGAGGTTGCAAACAGGGGTGGTAAGATATAATGGCTCGGGCCCAAGTCAAACGCGCGCCTCCTGCATCCCGACATCGGGGGGTAATTATTTAGTCTTCAGCCCGCCGCTGAATCCTTGAGAGAGTTATCAAAGCAAGATTTGTGCAGCGTATTTCAGCGCGGGTAAGTTCATTTCTCCCCCGGTTCAAATTTGTGTAAGTTTGTAAGTTGAAACATCGCGCAAAAGTGAGCGAATGAGTCTGAATCAGAAACAAAACAAAAAGAAAAGAAGGTCATACAAGTTCAATGGCATGGCTGGACGGGCGTCTCCTACAGATATTCAACAATATCATACTTGAATGATTTGCAGGTGTGAACGGCCCACCACCGAGCCGTTCTCTAGCTTTTTGTGTCCTTTATTCTATGAGAGAGTTATCAAATCGAGATCTTTACAGGCTCATTAATCATTTCGCACCCGTTGCAACTATGAATTATATGCGTTCACGTTTGTAAGTCGAGCGACAAAGGAAAAGAATGTGGGTGAGAGGACAAAGGAAGCAAAAAAAAAAAATAGGTGAATGTGGCTCGGGCCCGAATCAAACAGGCGCCTCCTGCAGATATTCAACAATATCATCTTTAGATGATGTGCAGGCGTGGACCGCCCACCACCAAGCCGTTCTCCAGCTTGTTGAGTCCTTGATCAGTTTACCGAACGAATAGCTGTATCAGTGTAAGTATCGCAAAAATGTTGAACTTGTTTCTCGACCCTGGCGACGGCTCAACTAGATTATACTAACGGACCTCTGTAGTGATTTCCAAGAAAGAATGAACGACGAGGGAAGCGAAAATATATATAACCATGTTAAAGTTATACCAATGGCTCACGCCCGAGTCGAACGGGCTCCTCTTTCTGCAGTTTATTTAGTCCCTAGTTTTATGAGCGAGTTGGCGAGGATTTCATCATCAATCAATGAGCTCGTTTTGGTTGATTGCGGTGGGTGGTTTATATACTGGATTGCACTGGCGCTGGATGGATCCGGCAGCAAAGTATTCTAATGTAAGGTTGAAAATAAATTTCGCGGCTCGACTTGTCTTTCCCCGCGTCGAGCGTGAGACACAGCCAAAAATAGGTGGGAAAAAGGGGTTGTCGTCATGAATGGCTCAGGCCTGATTCGAACAGGCGTACCCCACGTTACAAGCCCTTGACTAGTACTATTAGTGGATGCATAACCATTATGCTACTGAGCCGCGATTGACACACATCGACTCGGCATATCAATAATCAGTAGCTTGTGTCACTTGACCACATAGCACATAGGATGTAGGCAAATAGCAGATAGCCGAGGTAAAGCAACACGAAGGCGAAATGAGAGGATGCTAGCAGAATATCAAAGACAAATGTCATCGACCGATTGAAGTTGAAGCAGTTTAATTGATGGTAGGTGCAAGTCGCCTTTGTCGGAGAATTTCGCTACCTTTGCAGAAATAACAGGTAGATATAAAGCTTGGGTAGCTATACCTTGGACCACTGATATTGGGATTTTCGTGTTGTTAAAGTGAGAACACGTGAAGCGTTATAAAATAAATACTGTAGGGCTGTGGCTAAATTGGACTATGCTCCAAATGCTAGTAAGTATACCTCAACCTAAATCCAGGAATTAAAGGCCAATCCGCAGAGGAAACAAAAGAAATCCAACACAAAAGACAGCTGAAACCAAGCTGAAACACGGAGAATGCGGGGATGTCACGCGTGACGGTGTAGGGCCGGGCAGAGCGCGTTAGTGACCAATCCATCATTTTTCTCTTCGCTCCCGCCAGCATGCACACCGCCTCCTCGCTCGCCCCAATGGACAGCGCCTCGGCGTCGCCGACGCCGTTTTCCGCGTCGCCCTCGCCGTTTCGCATGTGGTCCTCCGTACCCGCCAGCACCGCTCCCTCGTCCCCGCCACCCGACGAAGAGGAGGTCAGTATTCACTCTCATGTGGCGACAGAGGAGACTTGCCTAATAAGAGTCGCAGAAGGACAGCCCATTCCTCGCGGGTATGCCTCTCGCAGACGCCGACATGCCCGCAAAAGGGGAGGAAGCGCCCAAAGACGCGGCCGAAGACGAGGATGAAGACGAGCCCATCACAGCAGACGAGCAGACCGAGCTCGACGCGCGTTACAAGCGCCTCGAGCACGTCCTGCAGCGGAGCGTGCTGTACAGCACGATCCTGAAGCAGCAGATGGACGACGCGAAGGAGGCGCACCAGGCCAGCCTGCGCGAGGCGCGCCGCGTGAAGGAGGCGGAGGCGGCGCGTCCCGTGAAACGTGCGCGGCGCGGGAAGGCGGGGGCGAATAGCACGGTTACGGAAGACGCGATGGCAGCGGCGGCGCAGGACGACGACGCGTTCCCGCAGCCGGCGCTGGTGACGGGCGCGCGGCTGAAGGACTACCAGCTTGAAGGCCTGCAGTGGATGGTGTCGCTCAATACCCAGGGTATCTCGGGCATATTGGGTTCGTGTCATATCTTCCTCGCCTCGTTTTCCCCTCACTTACCCGCATTATTCGTTGCCAGCGGACGAAATGGGGCTAGGCAAGGTAAATCCTTCGTATATATGCCCTTCCGCACCTACTAACATGACTTGTAGACCCTGCAAACGATCGCGTTCTCAGCGCACCTGCGCGAACTCGGCTTCTCCCGCCCTTTCCTCATCGTCTGCCCGCTCAGCGTGCTGCACAATTGGGTCGAGGAGTACAAGAAATTCGCGCCCGGGGTACGTGGCATTTCCATTCGCCTGCCTCCGCCTCCCATTTTTTTCGCCACCTCTCTTTTTCATGCCTCGACCTCCTAATTTTTCCTTTTCATTGCTAACCCACCTCCGCAGATCCCCGTCCTGATGTACCACGGCACGCCCGCCGAGCGCGCCGAGATGCGCCGCACAGTGCTGCCCATGCCGGATGGGTTCCCTGTGAAGGAGGCGTCCACCTCTGCCGCGCCTGCATCCCCACCTGCTCGCGGTCGGGGCCGCGGCCGTGGTCGCGCATCCGCGTCTGGGTCTGCGCCCACGCGTGGCCGAGCATCTGCGTCCACGTCCGCGTCCGCGCCCGCGTCCGCGCCCGCGTCCCCATCTGCCCGAGGTGGTAGGGGGCGCGGACGCGGTGGTGCGAGGGGACGTGGCCGTGGACGCGGGGCAGCAACGGGGACGGGACGCACGGCGGCTGGGAAGCGCAAGCGCGCCACTGCCGACGACTCCGACGACGAGGAGGAAGAGGAAGAGGAGGAAATCCTCACGCCCGCCCAAAAAGCCGCCAAAAAAGCAAAAGACGCACGCGACGCTGCTACCAAAAAGTTAAACGACGCACATGACGCGCACTTCGGGGCCTTCCCAGTCGTCATCACGACATACGATTTGATCATCCGCGACCGTGTGCATCTGGCGGCGTATCCGTGGGGGTACATCGTGGTGGACGAGGGGCATCGGCTGAAGAATATGAATTGTGCGTTGATGAGGGAGATTAAGAAGTTTGGGGGGAATGGGACTGGGGGGCGGATGGTGCTTACTGGGACGCCGTTGCATGTGCGTGGTTTTTCTCCGTCTTTTGGAGAGATGAGGAAGGCTGATGCGCGTTTTTTTATACAGAATAACCTGGCGGAGCTGTGGTCGCTGCTTAATTTTATCTTGCCGGACATATTCGACGATGTGGATGCGTTTCAGGAGTGGTGAGTTCTCTATATCCGGTTTTCGTCCCTCCCTCGTCCTTCCTCCCACCCCGCTCTTCCTTATCCGTATGCCACTCGCTAACACCCCCGCAGGTTCGCCCTCCCGCGCATGTCCGCGCTCCTCCCGTCCGCGCGCATGGGCACGTTCATCGCGACGCTGCACACGATCCTGAAGCCGTTTTTGCTGAGGAGGATGAAGGTCGATGTGTTAGGTGGGTTTTCCTTCTTCACTCCTCCGCTCCGTCCTTTTCCGCTGCGCTCTCCCTCCGACTCCAATACCCCTTTCTCTCCGCCCCTTCGTTACTCATACCTCCCTCGTCCGGCTCCGTTCTCCGTTCTCCGCCCTCCTTCCCGCATATTCACCGCTTCCTCGCCTTCTCCCTGATCCACTCTTCCCCTCGCCCTCTCTTTCCCCATCCCCTCAATCATCCTCGACACACAACTAACTTACCACCCACAGGCTCCGCTCTCCCGCCAAAGAAGAGCTACGTCCTCTACGCGCGGCTGAGCGTGCACCAGCGCGAGGCGTACGAGGCGATCCTGGGCGGTGGCGTGCGTGGGTGGGTCGCGGGGCGCGCGAGTGCCTCTGCGTCCGTCTCAGCAACCCCGGCAGGCTCCAGTACACCCGCCCACGACGCCGGCACCCCCGCAGATAGCAGCACAGTGGCGGACGGCAGCACACCCCCAGACAATACACCGGCACCCGCAGACGACGCAGAGGCGGGGCGGACGCTGCGCGCGCGCCGCAGAAAGGGCAAGGGGCGGGCGAGCGATGAGGACGAGGAGGCGAGGGCGAGGGAGGAGGAGGAGGAGAGGCGCGCGGCGGCGGAGGCGTTCAGAGCGAAGGGGGCTGGTGAGTGGATGTTTTCTCTATTCCACTACGACTACATGCGTTCCTTGCGTATTCTTGGCTCCCTTCCCTCATCCTTCCCTCCGCTCCACCTATTCCCCATCTGACTCCCAGCGTCGTATTGACGCTTCCACTGTCTTACATACGTTCTTCTGTACCCTTGGCTCCCTCCCTCCGCCTCCTGACTCTCCTTTGTCGCCCTTCCCCTCCTTCCGCTACTCCCCTCCCTTTCCATGCTCCTTCGTCTCCCGCACTCCGCTAACACGTCCCCACAGCGAAACACGTCAACAACATGAAGCTCCAGAACACCGTCATGCAGCTGCGCAAGGTGTGCTCGCACCCGTTCCTCTTCGCGCGCCCGGACGACGACGCGTGGTCTCTCGGTTAGTCTCAGTCTTTCCTTCTTTCCCGTCCCTTGCCTTGCCTTCCTTCGCCTCCCTTGGTCTTCCTTCCCTTGGTCTCCCTTGGCCTCCCCTCCCCGCTCCTTCCCTTCTTTCCCACCTCTCCCTGTCGCCTCTCCCCCTGGCCTCCCTGGCCTCCCTTTCCATTCTCTGCCTTCCCTGCCCAGGAAAGTCACTGACATCACCCCACAGGCCGCGCACCACTCACACCAGAAGTCATCGCAGCACGCGAGGCGGAGCTGCTAGGCGCGAGCGGGAAGATGCTCCTGCTGGACCGACTGCTGGGGGAACTGTTCCGGCGCGGGCACAAGGTGCTGTTGTTTAGCCAGTTTACGACGATGCTGGATATACTTGAGGTGTGTGGTGTCTCCTTTCCTCGCTTCATCCGCTGTCCGCATCGCCATCCCTGCGTGCTGTTTTTCTCCCTCCTCGCGTCATTTCGCCGATCTCACTCTACCCGCGTACCCTCTCCCTTCCTCGTGCCCCTCTATCCCTGCGCCCACCGCTGACCTCGCTCCACAGGACTGGGCCGTCGACATGAAAGGCTGGCAGGTCTGCCGCATCGACGGGACGACGCCGCCGCTCGAACGCCGGGACCAAATGAACCTATTCCAGGACGCGGGCGACGCGCCCGACGCGCCGCGGCTCTTCCTCCTCAGCACGCGCGCCGGCGGCCTCGGCGTGAATCTCACCGCCGCGGACACGGTTATCTTTTATGACCAGGATTGGGTGCGTATCCGTCTAATAATTACTTTACAGACGAGGCGCTGATGCGATTTTTGCACATGTAGAACCCGCAGATGGACGCGCAGGCGCAGGACCGGGCGCACAGGATTGGGCAGACGCGGCCGGTGCTGATTTTCCGGCTTGTGAGCGCGCATACGATTGAGGAGAAGATTATGCAGAGGGCGACGGAGAAGAGGAAGCTTGAGGCGCTGGTTATTGCGAAGGGTGCGTGTCTTCCTACGTCCTCCATGTCCCGGTCTTGGGCTCGCATTTTGCCCTCTACGCCCGCTCCACGTTCTCTCCCCCGTACCTCTTCTTCTCCCGTTCCTCCTCACTCTTCGTCATGTTCTCTACCCTACGGCTCGCTGACGCACCCCACAGGCAAATTCAAAATGCCCGCAGCCGCAGAAGCCGCCGCTCCCGGGAGGCGCGCGACGATGGCCGAGATGGCGGCGGAGCTACTCCGGCTCGAGGGCGAGCAGATCGACGTCCTCCCCGCGGAGCACGCGGGCGCGGACGTGCTGAGTGATGCGGACCTCGAGGCGCTGCTCGACCGCTCGCCGGCGGT